TTCGCTGTTCTGCCTTTTCGATCCTATTCCTTCCTTTCCTCCCCTCCCTCCCTCCCTCCCTCCCTCCCTCCCTCCCTCCCTCCCTCCCTTTCTTGCTTCTCTCACTGCTGGCAGTCCAAGAATGCGGAGGAGTCCCTGCTCTGCTAGACATCCTTCACAGCTACGAGCACACATCGCCGGTGAGGAGGAGGACCAAGGGAAAGCGAAAGAAAGTGGAGTAGGTGTGCGGGGGTGGCAGGGGGGAGGAGGAGCAGAAACAGAAGAAGCAGGAACAGGGGGAAGGAAAGCGATGACAAGGACCGGGACAGGAGGCTTCGATGGCGGCGAACGCATTGTTTCACCTCTGCCTGAACTTCGACATCCGAGCTGAGGTTGCACACATGATTGCATTGTTACAAGTATTCTCATTCATGTTCTCCTCCTCCTCCTCCTGGTCCTCCTCCTCCTTTTCCTCCTCCTCCTGCTCCTCCTGCTCCTGCTCCTCCTGCTCCTCCTGCTCCTCCTCCTCCTGCTCCTCCTCCTCCTCCTTCATCCATCCGCCTATTTCCAGATTGGGTCCAATGAAACCATCCGGGAGCTCCTGCTGATGATTCATAATCGAGACGTCAGGTTCGCATGATGAAGTTTTCTCCTTGGCTCACTACCTCCTTCTCGACCTCCTCCTGCACCCCCACCGCCAACTCCTTCCAACTCCTCCTAGTTGTTTCCTTCACTCCCCTTCTCGCCCGTCCCTGAATTCTCCTCCTTTCCCCTCTTTTACCTCCTCCTCCCCTCCCCCTCCCTCTCCTCCTCTTCCGTGACATCACTTCACAGCAACCCCAACAACTTGTCTCACATCTACGCTGGCAAATGCCTGGCGGTCTTGGCGTCAGAGCCTGAAGTCAGGCAGCATCTCCTTGAAGCAGGTGCCTCCTCCTCGCCCTCCCGCCTCCTCTTCCTCCTGCCTCTGATCTCTCTCTCTACCACCTTGTCTCTCCTCCTGCTCCTGCTCTTCCTCCTGCCTTCGGTATTGCATCCCCTTCTCCGTCTCCTCCTTCCCTTTCTGCTCCTGCAGCTCTTCTGCTGCTCCTCCTGCCCTTACCCCCTCACACACACTCCCCCCACTTCTTCTCTTCGTCTCATCGCTGGTCGCAGGAGCAGTTGACGTCTTCTCCGAGTGGCTCGACAACGCGAGGGCGGAGGGTCGTAAACTTGACGCTGAGGTGAGCCGGACAAGCAGTAGAGCTCCCTCTCCTCCCCTCCCCTCCCCTCCCTCCCTCCCACTCTGACTCCTACCCAACTTATTCTGATCCTTTACCTCTTCTCATTGCTGCTCTCCCTCCTTGTTCCCTCGTTGTCCTCTACCTCCTTTCTATTCCCTCCTCATCCCCTGCCTCCTCCTTCCCTCCTCCCTACTCAGCCTCTGCCTCCTCCAGGTTGCTGGCCTGTGCCTCTACGCCATGAGCTTGAACAATTCCGCGGCCCAGAGGATGAAGAAAGGAACTCTCGAGTCGCTCCTCTCCGTCTTCGACATCTCTTCGAGCGGTGCGCTGTCGTTCTTCGATGCCTTCCCCGCCCTCCGTCCCCTCCCCTCGTCGTTCTCTTCCCTCTTGGTCGTCTTCCCCCCTTCCTTCCTCTTCCCTCCTCATCCTCTCCTTCCTCCTTGCCTCTGACGTCTCCTCAGCCATCGCTTCTGACAAGACGCAAGCTTGTGCCGTGCCTGCTCTCATAAACATCTGCCTCGGACACGTTCGGTAGGCCCTCATACTCCCTGATACCTCTTTGCTGCTGCTGCTGCTACTGCTGCTGCTCTCGCCTTCGTCTCCTGTTCCATCCTGTCTCTCAAACTTTTCTCCTTCCCTTGCTCCCCCTGCTCTCCCTCATCGCATCCTGTTCCATCCTCCATGTTGAGCCTGACTATCTACAGGATGGTGAAGACATCACAAGAGGATGCCAGCAAAGATTTTCGAGGAGGAAAACCGTAAGCAGACGATGCCATGGCAGGGAGCGATCGACATCAGCATCAGCAGCAAGACAACCTCTGTCCTTCAACAAGCTGTTTGTTGTTGCAAAAAGTCTTACCAACCCGCCCACCACATCATAACGTGTCGCACTAGAACCAATCTCAGACGCAGAGCCTGTAACTATCCTTCCTGCTACATCGCCAACTCCATGCCCCTTCCCCGCTCAGACTCTCCTCTCCTTCAGATGTCCATCGTGGCGTAATCCGACCCCTTGGACTTGAGATGTCTCGGTCTCCATCGGCCTGCTGGAGTCTCCTTGAGGGCCTGCTGGAACAGCTTGTACTCCTGCGACAGCAATGGTCATGTTCATCCCCATCGCCATCGCCATCCTCTACCACCACCATCACCTCCTCCTCCTCCTCCTCCTCCTCCTCCTCCTCCTTCTCCTTCTCCTCCTCCTCCTCCTCTCGTCGTATCGTTCACACCTCGCTCGTGACTTGCTTTGCTCCAGCAAT